AACCTGTGTCCTTCACGTATAAGATGCAGGTAACTTTTTTGAGACCAAATTTAGGAAAAAAAGTGCGTCTTATATGCCGTCAAATACGGTAATCAATCACCTAGGCTAACCATTTAATATAACTATATTCGCCAAAATATCGTTGATTATTCTAATTCAATTTTTAAATAATTATCTTTATTTTGATGTTATTTGTATCATTTAATGTTGCTTCTCTCCTCTAAATTTATTTATTATTAGTAAATAATACTTTCAAATTTCAGGACATTTTCTGTGGCATAATCCTGGAACTAATTCTAGCAGTATGATGACACATCATCATGAAATTTAATGCATATATTTTTTGCTTATGTATGCTGCTAAATAAATATAAAATACCTGAATTTTTTATAAATATAATTAAACAGATTTTTCTTTCGTTTAGCTGCAAAATGTCTGAAAAAAAAAAGGAGGGGACATTTTTTCATCCAGATTGGGCAGATTCTAATCTCAATCTTTAGTGGAGAAAAAACTCATATTATATTTATAATAGTAATGCTTTAGGGATTGCATAGTCATATGTAAATTTTTGTGTTTTCAATTGGTACCATAATTAATTTACCTCTTAGCACAGCCAATGTGCATTACGTGAATAGACTGGAATTTTCTTAAATCACACCTGGAAAACCTGGAAAAGTCAGGGAATTTCACTTTCCTGTTTTGAGTGGCAAACCTGCCCCGTGTATAACTTGGATTCAAGTCAGTTTCTCATAGAAAGTCGTACACGAGGTATTCCTCCCCTTAGGCAGATAGCCCTCAAGTGCTTTGCTATAGTCAAATAAACCAAACCAAACCAGAACATGATAGATATGCATACTGTCTCCATCTTAGAATTTTTCAAGTCAGGAGCGAAGCATTTCAAGAGCAAACTGCATCCTGTCCATTTATTTGATTAACTGCTGCTTCAACATTGCATGTGACAAACTCGTAAACCGTGCCTGATGTACACCTTATTTCTTGCTATTTTAACACTTAGAAGATGGGTGACTGAAGAAACGACCAGAGCTGCAGTGTCAAAAAAGGCGGCTGCAGGCGAAATTTCAGCCAGAGAAATTCTTCCCCCTCTCACCATTTATGGTGCAGAGAAAGTCATTGTGCGATAACCTTCCCCTGCCATTTCTCCAATGACCTTCGCGCCTCACAATTATGCGGTTTCGTAAACTCCCCTTCATTTTCCCCCCAGCAGTGCAATGTTAGCTTGATGCAAAAAATTTCAGTTATGTTTCGCATGATTAACTTGCCATCTAGAATTCTACATAAGTAAACTAACCATACTGATATGCATATATATGTGTATGGTATATACATATGCAAATGAGGTGTGTGCATATGCACCAGAAACACGAATGCGTAGCATGTATGTATGCTAATTGTGTACATGTATGCAAACAGATAAAAGCATAGCATACACATGTACATATGTGTAAATGCCAAGTATATATGATAACTGTGTGTATAATACGTATCCCTATATCTGTGTGTATACATAATATTTGAAAATCACAGATTTAAGTTAAAGTATTATATGAATTCCCCCCCCCCCCATTCGTCGTAGAAGTTTTATTCAAAAATACAAAAAGCCGAAATGTGATAATATTCCAATCATTGATGAATTTATGGAAAGAGACTAGGTGACACTATATAAGGCCAGGACACTCTATGAGATCAGCAAATAATTTCTCTTATATATTTGCTTTCTATATTTCTAAATATTTCTTTTGTCATAAATAATAAAATGTGGGAAATGTATTAAATAAGTTTTACAGTATTTACTAAGATTTAACTTCTAAACAATCTCTCATTTTTAGCATTTACTCTTCGTTTCCTAGAAGATAACCAAAATGAGAATTAATAGTTAAAATATAAATACATATGTATCCATTTGCTTCAAATTTTTTCTTATAAGAAATTGTACCCATTTAGATAACAGTCAGGTGATATCTTCAGTCAATTGAATATCACCTAATGGCATATCAGTGAAATAGCTATTCTCTGGTGATTCTCGAAGGTTCCATTCTCTGCTGCAGCTAAATAAAGCTTTTTTCTCCTTCACGTACACACATATAAGTCAGTTTCACGCAGAAAGTTCTTAACAAAGGCCTATTAGTGGCCAAGCAACAAAACCTGCTGAACACTGGTGGTTCAGTCCGGGATTCGAGTTCCAGCAATCGGGCTGACTGCATGAGGTTCTTCCCCCCCATGTGTAACTGGTATGCAAACCACTTTTCCTTAAAACATCTTCAATGAAACGTCCTTCCTTTTCCATGTAGTGCCTAATGGTGGAGCATGTAATAAATAATAAATATATTCCTTAACGGTGTTATTTTTCCATATAAGCAAATAGTTCTAGCATAATTTTGCATAATCATAGTCTAATTCATGTTAACTATCTAATTCATCTTATTTCGTATTTACCTTCTTTAATTAGACTGAATTACTTTTCAGCGTAAGCCCTTTTTTTAAAATTAATAAAATTGTCATCACTGTGGTGTAGTAATAATGAGAAATGCTATTTTAATAACATATTTAATTTCAGTATTCCTGACATTCTTGTGTGTAATGAAAATATGAGCTAAATTCATGCAGGGGTGACCTGCATGATAGTATCTATATTTTGAGAGAATAATTATCTGTTTATGGCAATTCCAGTCTTTATATGCACCTATATATAAAAGTTGCAATATTTGGATTACGGCCAAGGTACAAAGGGCTGTCTGCCCAAGGGTCCTCCTGCCAGGGTCTTCCTGGAGGACTTTTTAAGAGAAATTGGTTGGTAGCGTGCAGCCAGCTGGTTGACCAAAATATGAACCGAACCTAGATTTTACCGCTCGACCTCTGGTGGGTCTATATAAATAAATAAATAAAGTTAATAAATCCATTTGAAATTTTATGATACTAGTATTAATTTCACCAGTTTTTCAGTGTCATCAAGAATGTATTTTGCCTTAATATTTCCTCTTTTTATTGTAATTTTTGTATCTAATATTGCTATTTAAAACATGCAAAATGCAATGCGATGAACTGAACATATAATCAGTAAAATCCTTTTTTTATAGTAAAGGAGAATATTTTAAAAAAACTATGCGAAAAGGAGAAAAAAGCTTTTATCACAAAAATGGAAGAAAGAACAATGAACAGTAATGTAGTTGAAAGATGAAATACTTACGATATAATAGGGAGAAGTATCAGTAAATTAAAAAAAAAGAACTAAATAAGGATACTAATGAGAAAGGTAAACAAAACTAATATCACAAAAATACAGGAGGATTTGTTGAATATATAAATATAAGCTGTTGCACAACGTTTGTAACAAAATGAATACGAATTGCCGATTTATGTGAGAAATAGTTAAACATAATTTTCAAGTATAAATTAAAACTCTTAATCAGTACATGTAATTCTAAATTCAGTTTGTAAACAAAAACTGATTATGTACTGATTTTAGGTGTATTTTAGTACTAACTGCTAAGACGTTTAGTATTTACTGCTGAGATGTATTTTCATTACTACGCAAAGTCAAAATTTATTATACCACCATTTGACAATTACGGTATTTAATGGCATATAAGACGCACTTTTTTTTCATAAATTTGGTCTCAAAAAAGTTACTGCGTCTTATACGTGAAGGTAATTGCATTCAATAATTGTTTATTTGGCTTTTAAGAAACGTGAGAACTAAAAGAAACCATGCTGTTGAAACTTTTTTTCCTTGTGTGTGGCCGTCTATATAAGGGTGCGTCTTATATGCCGTCAAATACAGTACTTAGCACGAAATCTCACCATCTTATGTTTCCCTAGTGTAGGGAAAGAGATAGCAAAAAAGAGAAAAAATTCCTTTCTTTTATTCCCTAGTATCTTATGTGAGAATTAACAAAGGCAACCTTAAGGAAAGGTTTCAAAACAGTAATACTTTCCCTTTACAATGGCAGCAAAAAGGGGTGGAAATGAATTTGGATTAACCTTCCTTTTAAGTGAAACCTTTCCAAACTTCCCAGTCTTTTAAAACTTAAACTGTTAAACACAGATGTTATGTCAAACTTAGTGACTTTATATGCTGTATTGCAGGGATACCCAACTCATAGCTCCCATGTCTGTCCCATTTTCAGTTTTGTGAAGTGAGATGGCAAGACAGGAAAAGGAAAGTGAAATTCCAGTTATGCCACATGCTCAAAGGTGCAGCTGACCTAGGCCCGCTTAGATAGATCTTTTTCAGGGGGCTTTGAGCCAACACTGTTCTACACTAGATTTACTACTCTCATTATTCTACACATTATCATTGAACTGATCCTTATGAATACCTTTGCCGCAAAACGTCTACTTATTTTACTGTCTCACCATTTGCCTTTTGCCATAGCCTGCATGAAACACACACCTGTGAGCACAGAACGAATTTTCAAAGTTCTGCATAAAATAGCTGATTTGGGGGTTTCATACAGGTATAAAAAATATTCGCTTCTTCTATGTGTATTAGTTATTAATTTCAAGAGATTAATGGTTTTGTAGTTCGTGTAATCATGTCATTATATGACTCCGGAAAAAAGAGTACCTAAAATTAAATTTTACAGTGAATTTGAAGAGAAATATTTTTCAATATTTTTTTAGATTGAATGTATTTGTGTGATTTATGATGTGTTTGGTTTCTGCTGAAAAAAAAGCAGCATGAAAAAATATTTTACAACAGCTCATAAAAAATATGATAATAACAATCTAAGAAAATGTAGAGTGAAAGAATTGAAAAGCATTCTCTTTTCCCAACAATCTGTTTACCAAGTTACCAAATAAAATGAAGGTTGCATCATGTAAGGTTTCATTTATACTTGCACTTCCCAAGAAAACCTTTGTGAAAAGCAGCATAATTAAAGAAGCTAAAAGTACATGGTTGGAAAAACTTTCCGTGTCAGTATTGTGAATTAAACTTGTGAATGTAATACAAATCTAATGTAAAGTATTTTTATTTAAAGCTAAAGGAGCTGTAGGAAGAAATTTATGGGGCCCTCATCGCTTAGCATCTCTACAAGGTATCAGGGTGGTATCTGTTTGTGTAGGAAGCTGCGCTGTGCACAGTGTAATCATAATAGAAGGAGGCCAAGCATTAACTTGGGGTAGGTGTTTTAATATTTCTGTAAATTTTAAATTTTAGAAATAATTTAGGTAACATTAATAAACATGTAATATATGCTATAACTTACGGTTCATTTAAGTTTTCCTATTCTCTTGCAGCATTAAATAAACTGGTGTTTCTTAAAGATTTGTTTAGCATTGTAACTGACTTCTTATAATTATTTTCTAGATAAATAGTGAATTCTAAAATGTTATATTTTCCCATGAGTTTGTTTGATCTAATATTTCAAAGGAAGTACTTTATATTTCTCTCGTTTTTATTAATTTTAATAATAATGCATAATCAGCTTTATGTACTTAAAACCGGCACTGTATAAATAAAGTTAAAAACAAGAAAATAAATTGATAAAAATTTTGCTTTTTTTTTTTTTTTTTTGCCCATTTCATGTATTTTTAAATGCTGCATAACAGAAGTCAAACTAGAATATACCAGATGTTTCCAGGTTTTAGAACCTAAGGCAGGTTTTTAACTTATAAGACATCTAATTTCAATTTTCATTTCATTTCTTTCAAACATTTATTTGCTTGAAAATTGTAGTTCATTGATCAGATGTCATTTGCGCTTTTCAGGTATTGTTAAGGCTGTCTAGCCAATTCTTTTAAAGCATCAAACTTAAAAGTGTTCTGAGAATTTTTCTCAGGTGAACTAGATAAGATTATGTTCTCTTTTATTATAATCGTGTTTGTAAATATTACTGAATATGTCTTTAATGAACCATTTATATCTCTATACTTTTTACTATCTAGAAGAGTAAATTTGAATTTTCTTATCACCTATTTGAGACTGTGTTTCACTAAAACTGTTGCTGGGTATTCAAAATTGCAAAGTACTTTTAGTTCACCCAGGATTCTATTTCTGACATTTGAATAAGCTAGCTGCCTGATATTTCAACAGCTCTCCTCATGTGCAATGTAAGTATATTAGTATAGCCTGTTTTTTTTTAGAAAGTCATATTTTTCCATTGGCTGGTAGCAGTTAACTTTACTGTAATCTAGTCCATATATTGGGTCATGACTGCTGTTATCCTGATTTTCTTCTGCAAAATCATCTCCCAACATGTCTTCATTCACAATCAACTTCATTTGGCAATTTATTTGAGGTATTTATTCAGAACCTGGATGAAAAATATTTGTCCCCATGCAAAAAGCCCATGCCATTCCAACCTCCACACAAAGGAATGTCTGTGATAGCAGTTCAAATGCATTTGGTATTATAACATCATTTTCTCCCACAAGAGCTTTGAAGCTGGTATATGTTAACTCATGACTATTTAATTATACGTTTATTTTTAGTAAAAGCTTAACAATAACTTATGGGAAAAGTTTTTTTTTTTTTTTTTTTTTTTTTTTTTTAAATTCAAACCTTTCCTTTAGCTGTTTCTTTCATTTTAGTATACTCAAACTTCATGTGATTGCAGAAAAAAACTAAATTAGCATGATTTAACTGTATGTAAACCAGAAGAAGGTACTTCTTTCTTGTACAGCCCTGGTTATTTAAATGCCGCCAATATTATTAATGAATCTCCAGTGTATATTTCCAACACTTGGCATTCCTAGCCAGGTTTATTGCTTGCCACATGTAAAGCACTTGTTGTATTTCTAATGTATTTTCTGTTTTTTTTTTTTTCAAGAAAATGTTAACAATTTTTTATTTACCTAAGCGTCTAGGAGATCCTGTATCCTTCTTCCTGAAGAAAGGCATTATAAACTGCATTCTTATACATGAAAATGACCAAATAAGTAATATGGGCTGTAAAAATAAAGAAGCACTTCTCAAAGTGTTCCTGGTTACACCCATTGGCTGTTTGGCAGCATGAAGTTGATTGATAATACTGGCACCGTTTAAATAAAGGGTGCCATGATAATATGGAAATAACCAGAAAATTTATAAACAAATTTAAATGGAACTAACTGACAAATGGTATGAGAAAAATCTTCTACACAGTTAAAATTTATATCTAAATCACTTCCATACTGTTTTTCTTCTATGGTTGTCTCCAAAACCATGTGTAGTCTGTCTGCCATGAGAAGAGACTTGGCTATACCTTCATGATGTCTTGGACAATCCCAGTATATTATGTTAAGTAAAACAGGAGTAACAGTGCATGCTGTCTATAAAGTGGAATTTTGATTCACTCATTTGCCACTTTTGATAAGTTCTCTGTGTCTCTCCCAGCATTGAAGCTCTCCTTCCTAGCAAGCAAGGCCAAGTTTTTCCTCGTGGATGAATGAACTATACAGTCCTCAAATCTTCATTCTTATTTCTCTGTATATCTGTCACATAAAAATAAATCTTTGGGCTTAATTCATTCTTTAACTATAGTAATAAATTCAAAGTAATGTGTATTGTTATACTATTTAAATCTTCTGGCTAGACAATTTTTAGGAGGAAAATGTTTTTACCCAATGACCATTACTGAAGCTTAACAAGTGTAAGAAATAAATATAATATTTTCATTGAGACACATATTTATAATAATTTTATATAAAGAATTCCTAACTGAAATAAATCAGCCTTATTGAATATTTGTCATTCACAATACAGCAAGAGTGAGAAAGAATTAACCTGTAAATAAGTATATCAATTATGCTGATTTGTAATGAACTCTGTAATTCAAAACATGTAAAGTTTTCATATTTATGCACAGATTAGGTGATATTTCAGCCTCATCATTTGTAACTTCTTCAGAATCATTAATCTTATTTAGTCATTATAAGTTAACTTCAAGCATGATCATTTGATATCTCAGATAGAAAGTCATATGTATTCCAGAATTTCTGTTGTCTATAAAGATATGGAGTTGTTTGTTTAGAACAGGGATAGGCAGCCTGGTTCCTACTGACCACTAATAGGCGATTTAAGCTTTCACAGTGGGTGGTGGAGGTTTTGCCCTATAATGATCAAGGAAGATTGAAACCTGTATGGATGTATAAATATATACTACATACCACTTAAAGTTTAGTTCTGTTCTTGACAATTACCCTTTGTGCAGTGCTCTTCTGTTTCCATATATTTATACAGCTTTGTTTATTAATGCTGTCTGTTAAAAATTTAATATTGTAAATTATACAGGGTGATTTCTTTTAGAACTGAACTATTTCATTGGGCTGTAGTTTATTTAAAAAGCATTAGATTTTAATGTGATTTGCAGCAAATGATTATTGAGGAAGGATGAAAATTTAGTGTTCCGTCCCGTTTTTTTATATGCAATGCCGAAAAAAAGAAGAAATAATGAAAACCACACATTCCATGAAATTCCATACAAGAGGACTGCATACTTTTAAAGTCAGAACAGTTTGATATTTTATGTCTATCGTGATAAACCATGGACATTAGATGAATTAAAAGCCAGCATTTCTAGGGAAATTACAAACATCACTGCCCACACATTGTGGAGTGTTGCAGCCAACATGGATCGGCGAGTTTGGTTATGCTTTCGCCAGGAGGGTGATAATTTTCAACACCTATTGTAGAGTAAGTCATTATGAACCTTTATAACCTTCACAAACCTTTGCTAATCACGTTTGGCATGCAATATGGCAATCAGAGTTTTTAACAATGTTTTATAGGTGCAAGCCATCCCTCCTTATATAGCATTTGGTGGTTTTTATTATTTATTTTTTGCACCATTGCACATAAAAAAAAATGGGACAGATCACTAAGATTTCCTCCTTTCTGAATCTTTTGTCGCAAACCACATTAAAATTGGATACTTCTTAACAAAACTACAACAGCCCAATGAAATAGGGCAATTTGAAAAGAATCACCCTGTGGTATAAATAAATGCATAAATTTCGGTACATATTTTTTACTAAACTTCCCTTTTGTGTCGTGTTATGTTATGCTGTGTTAAGTTACTGTGAACAGGTGGGCGGTTTAGAAATTTTAATGCCTACAAAATGGGCATTAGGTATAAAATGGTTGGCTACCCATGATTTAGAAACTACCCTTTTGAAAATCCATTAGAGAGCAAAAGTGTTCAAACACATTGAGTTTATTATTGTGCACTTGGCTCTTAGCTTTTCAGTTATCACAGAATTAAAAAAAAAATTAACTTTTAAAGTAGTAATACTCTATCAATTCTCAAGTAATTCCTTGATTACTATGCTGAATTAACAAGATAGTGTTGCCAGGTAATGAAACTTCATTACGCTTCAATAAGAAAAATATTTAAGCATAATGGTTTATTTCTCCATTGCACTTTATTAGTTGTCAAAAATCGCCTTTGCCCATGTTTTAGGAAATGATTAAGAGAATTTCTTAACATATATGAAACATGACAAGTTTTAACATTTATTGGTTATAACCATTTTATCTTTTTTATTATTCATGTTAATGCATAATAAAACTGTAATACCTTTAATAGCAGTTTTGCACCCAATGCTCAATCATAAACATCAGTGCCATTGCATATTTTTCAAAGTTAGCGGTAGATAATAGTCTGTAGTTTAGGTTTCCTCTGCAGAAAAATCTGCATCTTTTTTGACATCGTGATTTCATTTGTAAACTATATTTTCTTGTTTTCTTCTGTGTTTTCTCTCTTCCAGCCATTTCTAGTAGCTAAGCTGTCTCTGTTTTCTTACATAAGTCATTTGCTTTTTGATGCATTTATGTATACTTTTTTTTCATGCATTTAAAGAATGGGCATTTATTTTTGAAGCTTATTATTAAAAGGACATAGTTTTGAAGCTTACTCAGCAAATGATTATCACAGATTTATTATCCAGGTTTTTGAATTGATAACAAAAAGAGAACCAATTGCAATAAATGATGATTTAATGCATATTTAGTACAGAACCAAGCGTATATGATAACATTAAGTGAAATTGCATTAAATGGCAACCATCATAATGATTGTTAGATAGCCTTTTAAAAATCATATGATTCCATTAGAGATAAACCACAAAGAAATTAAATCCCTGTCTTCTAGTCTGAAACTGCAAAGTAGTATTCTAATACAGGTGTTCTGATGTTACCAGATTGTTTAAAAATTCTTTTTTTTTTAACCTAGCTAAAAATTATTTTTTTTAACCTAGCATACTACTTCAGTGTTATAATGTATTACTGAAAATGTTTAATACACTAACTTTGGTGTGCTAATATTTTTGTAACTAAAAAAGTAATTCAAAATTTTCAGAGTGAGTTTAAATTTTCTTTAGTTCAACTACACACTTCATTCAATATCCTTTGCGCTTGTAGAAAGAGTGTTGGAATAAGTGTAGTGCTGTTCTACACTTAAAGAATTTTTTTCTGTGTAAAGCAGAATTTCTGTCATATGCACTTTACTGTGGACTTATTTGTACTTGAAAGACTTCCCTATAATAGTTAAAAACTGATGTTTTCAGATTAATTTCTCTTCATGTCTCCCCTTCATATATATAAACACGAACCACATTTATGTATGTAGAGAATGAAATGTATCCCCTTAAAGGAGAAAATCTTGTTTCCTCCATAATTAACCAAAATATTTCTTTTTCAGTTATGTACTTTATTCCCTAATTTAAAAATTGTAATAATTTGATGAACACTGATTAGTGTTAATTTGCATTTAGTGACTGTATGTGTTGAATGTATTTTAATATAGGTCGTAATGATAAAGGTCAGCTGGGTCATTCTGACACTAAAAGAAGAGATATTCCTACTGTAGTGGAAGCTCTAAAGGATCATCAAATTGTAGCTGCAGCATGCGGACGAGGGCACACCTTATTTTTATCAGGCAAGTTATATTAATTTGAATCTTATTGATTGCTGTAAAATGGATCTTCATGATCAGTTGCAGTTATTGAATTGCACATAGAAGTAGCTATATGCCTGAATTTAATAAATATTACTTTAGTAAATATGTTCCTTTGAATAAAGAAATAATAAGTATTTATATGATGTTTGAATATTAAGTTAATCATCGAATACTATTTAATAGTTAAAAATTGTATACAGTCAAAAGTCGTTAATTCGGACACCCATAATCCGGAATGATCTATAATCCGGACCTCAAAGCTACAAACTTTCTGCGCATAAGACCTTTATGGCTGCAAATATGCGTGTGAGCAAAATACGTTTACGAATGCGCGCTTAATGTATAACAGACGGTATAAGCTAAGCTAAAATTATCTAATTTAGTTAATGTTGCAGACTGCGTTGTTCCTTAATCTTCTAATTGGATTTGGCTTATTATTTTTTGCAGACTGTTAGAGCAATTTTATAAAAGTAAGCTTGAACTTTCGATTATGTCAAATAGAATTTCTGATATATATTTACTAATATGTAAAGGATCTACAAAGCGAAAGTATGTTTCGAAGTCCATTAAACAAAAAGTGGAATTGCTGCAAAAAATGGATAAAGGCATATCCCTTGTTTATCTAAACTTTGTTTATCTTTAACGCCGCGGTGCGCAATGATATATAATATTGTGCCAAATGTTATAATAATTAATGTGCACTAAGCCTGAATTACTGGATAACGTGCAGGATGGAAGTGTGTGATCTGGAAAATAAATAGAATTAAGTTAACTTACCCCCAAAGATGACACTTCAAATGATGTGAATTATGAGAAATTTATTGTACCTTGACATCGTGAAAATGCAAGATAATATTATCATAAATCAAGAAATATAACCAGACATAAGACAATTTACCACGTGCTACTATTTTTGAGTCCTAACATTTGTGCACAAATGCGTTGAAGATCCAGTCTAATAAATCTCAGTTCATCTTCGTTGCAGAAAGTTACAAGATACCAGAATTGAAATTTTATAGGCAAGGATGTACCACTTCGATGATTATTTCAATATATTTTTTTTTTTTGGAACATGTGTCCAACTCAAGATGCGACACGTGCACAGAAATTCCTCTCAAGTTGTCAAGCACCATTCATCTACCGCAGAAGCCAACATCTAAATCAATTTGAATAATTCTTCTGCTTACTGTATTTTTTTACAAAACTGCATCCTCTTGAAACTATGTGGAAGTGGTTGTTAGAAATGCACAAAAAAGGAACTAATTGCAGACACGCATCATCCCCGGTGAGGACGGTCAGATGGCCGCCCTACACTTTCGGAGTCTCGTAGCAGAAGAGAGCCAAAACCGGTTGTCATCGTCAACCTCGCTCTGTCATTGAGTGGTCGCAGTGAAGACATGAAGCTGAATAAATGTGGAGGCTTGCCTGCACATTCCCTCCGGCCAAAGGAGAAAAAAAGCAGCACAGTTCACAAAATCATATCACAATACTTTGATGAAGCACAATCCTAATTTGCAGATGAGACTTGATGTATTTGCAATCACTTAAATCTGAATTCTAGGATCTTGTCCATTTGAAATTAGCACATGTTAATTTAATCAAATCTGTCTGGCATAATCCAAATTATGATGAATCAATAAATTATCAAAATCTTATTGTGTCAGACAATATATTTCAATATATTTTTTTTTGGTTAGAATTAAAGTTAAAAATTAAAACTAAGAACTAATACATAAAATACATGATACACATACAATAGCATAGATTTCACTACAATCTGTAGACACATTACATTTGTAACTGAATACATCTTGTATGTCATACAATCTTTTTCACTGTTGTTAACAACTCTTGATTACTATATATCTCTTACTCAACAATATTCAAATCATATCATTTTATCAACTCTTAAATACCATACATTTTTTCTTATAATATTTGTAAATGTTTAAGAATGATTACTCTACAAACTTTCTTTTACAACTTAGTTATTCCCAATTCTCAAACTGTTAAAATAGCACATTATATATATATATCTATATATATAATTATATTTTTAAAATTCCATGACCTTAGTCAACCTGGACCAGCCTGCAACTGACCAAAGTTATAAATGAAGGTGGCCAACCTACACCCACCCATACTAACCAAGAAACTCCAAAAAAAAAAAAAAAAAAATTAATTGGAACTAAATCCACTACATTCATAAAGTTTGATGAGTGCTATTAATTAGTTAAATTTGACCTCAGAGGAACTCTTTTAAACAATTTACTACAATGAATTTTTTGAGTTTTGTTGTCAGTGATATTTTCAATTAAATAGTTTTTATTTCAAAAAAATTTTACGATTTTGAAAGGACCAGTGTATTTTGGCTGTAAGGCATGAGGTGGTTGTAAAGCCTTTATAAATACTTCGTCTCCAATGTTAAATTTAGGACTTTCTCTGCCCTTCACAACTTTATCTTGAGTCTGAAAATACTTTTCTTCATTTTGTTTCACTAACTCTCTAGTGGCTTTAATGTGTTCCTTTTGACGCAACAAGTACTGTGAAGGATTGTCTACAGCATGTGGTTCATTATTTAAGTCTAAAGGTGTATTGAGTTCTGGCCTGAAAAATAACTGAGCAGGAGTGAAACCAGTTAATATGTGTTTTGAATTATTGTAATGCAGTTTAAAAAATGCCAATGTATCAGACCATTCAAAACCTGATTAGATAATGAAGCTATGCTTTCTTTCATAGTTCTGCTCGTTCTGTGATCCCATTCGATTGTGAGTAATAAATGGAACTTTTTCTGTGTTCAATACTTGAATCTGTTAAAAAATTCTCAAATTCAGCCGAACAATAATTTGACCCGTTGTCAGATTACATTATCTTCAGAATACCGAATTTTGAAAAATACAGATTCATACATCTTATGATTGTTGCAGAAGTGATATTGGTTAAAGGAATAGCCTCTAAATATCTCGAGTAATGATCAATAATTGTTAAAATGAAAAATTTACCATCGTGTGACCTGAGTAATTTACCTACAATGTCAATAGCTAACATCTCTCCAGGGGCTAAATCAGACTTTTTTATATTACTTGTGACTGTTCTAGAAGATTTGGGTTTATTTTCCAAACATTGTTGACAATTTTCACAAAAGTTTTTTGTGTCTAAAAACATGCCCTTCCAGAAATATTTCTTTTTTATGAATTCATAAGTCTTGTTGGTGCCAAAATGTGGAGCATGAGCAATCTCTAAACAAGGGTTCACTAAAGAATTTGGAAGTAGAATTTTGTTTTCTAAATGCCTTGTCTTTAAATGATGTGCTCTAAGTCTTAATCATTACTATACCATTTTTCTGATCAATAAAATGTTTGCTACAAATCTCAGAATTGTTATTGTTAATTTTGTTTATGATGTTGTAATGATTTTATCATCTTTTTGGTGATTAACTATATTTTGACTGCTTAATTGATTATTTTTTGGTTGAAATAAGTTAATATTGTTTACATTATGAGATTCTTCAGGAACTCTGGAAAAGAAAATCAACAGGATTAGAAAAACAAGGTATGTGCTTTAAAGTGTAATCAGAATCCTGTAAATACAATAACCATCTGGCCACAATATCAGGCTGCTTATCCAATTGCATATGAAAAGTGAGAGGTTTAGCATCAGTTAAGATGTTAAATTTTTTTCCATACAAATGTTCATGAAAATGTTTCACAGATGAAAATATAGCATAGAGCTCACGTCTAATAGATGGATACCTAGACTCAGCAGGAGTCAGAAGAAGTTTCGAATAAAATTCTACAGGAAAGAATTTGTCATCAATTTTTTGCAAAAGTATATACCACAAAATAGCTACTTTAGAAGCATCAGTAATTAAAAAAATTTCATGATTATCATCATATTATGTTTTTTATAGTAGGCTTTTCTAACATTATTGACTGTAACAGATCAAAAGCATCCTGACAATCTTGATTCCAAACAAAGGCACATTTCTTTTAGTCAAGTGTACTATTGGCTGAGTGATCTCAGCAAAATTATGTATTAAGTGTCTAAAATAATTCATCATACCAAGAAAAGCTTGAACTTGTTTAACATCTTTTGGAATAGGGAATTTTGAAACTTTTGCTATATTATCTTCAGAAGGAGAAAAACCTGCTTTAGAAATGTTAAAACCTAAATAAGTTATATCAGATTTGCATAACTGCACTTTAGCTGGATCCAAAGTCAAATTGAATGCTCTTAAGCCTATCAAAAACCTTTTGAAGAATTACCTTTCAATTCAGATACACTGTCAGCAGCAACAATAATATCATCCAGAAAAAATTGAACATTACTACCTTTGATATCATTTAAACATTTTGAAATTAATGTGTGGAAATAAGAAGTACTATTGCGTGAACTAAAGGGAAGTCTACAAGGATGAAAATTGCCAATCTCGGTGCAAAAAGCCAACTTTTCTTTATCAGACTCTTGTAACTTAATTTGGAAAAAAGCTGATTTCAAGTCGAGTACACAATATAAATTCCTACTAGCTATGTTGTGTAAAATTTCAGAAATTTTTGGTAAACAGATTTTGTAAGATTCTGTGATGCTGTTTAATAGACGATAGTCTACAACCATACGAAATTTTGGTGTGTGTTTTTATCCTCACCAGGTAAATTCTTTTTTTCTGACAAATATAACAGGAAAACTATAACTGGAAGAAGATGGTTCTATTATGCCAGCCTCTAATAATTTTGCAATTTCTTGTTGTGCGTACTGTTTAGGAATTTTAGGATGGGATAAGGTCTCGTCTGAAAAGGAAAATTATGAAGAAGTTTAAATTCTGGCACAACTTTATCAGTGGATCCTAAAGTGTTATAAGACTTTGAAAATACAGCATAGTTATTCATTAAAAATTGTATCATTTCACCTTTTGCTTTTTCATTTAGATGATCTAGTATAAAATCTGATACATTTAATTTTTCTTTTCTGAGCTTAATTAC